ACGATGCAAAGACATTACAGAATATGCAAAAGCGTAGATATGTAGTGCATTTAAAAACAGGTTACATCGCCATACATACCGGAAGTATATTCATGTATCTATTTTTAGCACTATTTGACGACTGTTTGCCCACAGAGCATTGACCTTCGCTAGTCTGTGTGTATGCTTTGGCATTTTCTTCGAGCTTCTCAAATTCTTTGTAGATGGACTCCTTACTCTCAGTTTGTCCCATCTTCATCGGATGTAAATAGTGACAAGCACGAATCAGATCTGACTGAATGTACTTTATATTTATTGTATTAATGTACTTGTGTGCATACATATATCTAATTTTCATGCAGAAATAGTACGTGACTATATGTGCGCGTCTAAAACCGTTTTTGAAGTGCTTTGTATACGTCCTATCAATCCCCTATTGAGAAGTATCTAAGCACGTTTAACTGAGCTTGCGAGTTTAATAGATACATTGAAATAACTACCTATTGTACTATATATATATTTAAATACACCGCAGCGGAACCACAGAGGATTCAGGATACAATCGCTCACAATCAATGAGTCTATCTGGGACGTAGTGGTCTCTTGGGGGGGGGGCCTCACAGTTCATACAGTGGTAGTCGGTAGGGTCTTGATGTATCGTATCGTATCGAGTTTAATCAAGATTACCACATACATACTCCGTCCTAAACTATGTCGTGTATTAATTGATGGCGTACGCTACAAGCCATACCAGAACGATGATTAGTATAAGACATGTCGTAAACTAAATTAATCAGTTAGTCTCTCGCTGACGTGAGCAAGCCATACTCTTGGTTTGTGCTGACGTGTCACGATTTTATTTCTATTTTTTTACTAACTTTTCTTCGATCTATTTTAAATTGTTTCTTTTGTAAAAACAAAAGAACATGGACTGAGACTTTTATTTAGGCCGAAGTTGCTGTGACTGCGAGTTGAGACTTGAGTCAACTCTATGAGTCAACTCTTAACTGAAGTCTATTTACACAGTCTCTTGAGTCTTGACTCTTGAGACTGTGATTGTGTGAGTGTGCGAGTCACTGAGTGAAAGACTAACCGCCGTCTGTGGAGTGTGTGCAGTGTGACTCTCTCAGTCTCGTGCTGTGAGCCTGTGACTGTGTTTTCTCTCTCAAAGAGAGTGTTCAGACTTCAGTGACCAGTGTACACATTACACAACTATAGAGCGGCATACATAGCCCTCACATGTAGTGTAAATACATACATATTGTATTTAGGTGAGTGCCTAACGGTCAGTGGAGTACGGAGTCAGGACTCAGTAGAGTAGAGTGTGGACTGCCTGTGGCCTGTGTAGCACTGTGTGCTGTTTGGCGCCCGTTGTCCGGTATGCCCCAGGGCCCAGGCCCAGAGGCCCGGGCCAGGGCTACAAGCGAGGGCGGGAGGCCTCTAGAGAGAGTCCCAGAGGACGCAAACCGCAGTGAAACTGTGGGTGTTAGTCTGTTAGGGAGAGATATAGGGTTTCCGGAAAGTCCGAAACTCAGAACTTTTTGAGTTTGAGTGACCGTGGGGCGTATTTAGGAGTCCGTTGTCACCTGTCACTTGTCCGTGTCAGAAGACTATGGTCTGACGTTTCTACTCGCGTTACGGATTAACGTTTCATCTCACGGGGAGAAACGTGTAATATTTTTTAATTTTTTTAAATAAATACATGGAAGATTTCTTGCTACGTATTTATGTACTTTATTTATAGGTGTGTATCATCGCATTGACATCTACATTCCTAGTTTGCCCTATAAAAATCGCGTACAGGTTACAGATTACGTTAAGGGATGGCGGCTCTCTCGAAGCGCACTCTTGTGACAATGGTAGTGGTCACCCTGCTGCTCATTGTGAAACTAGCTGTAAGTATCACATAACAGAGTGCACCTTCTCAGCATTTTGGTTGTATACGTGATGCTGTCAATAAAAGCGAGCTTATATAGAGAGAGAG